TGGTTTGGAGGAGGCAGCCTCCACAAGCAAAACCTTTCTTGGAAAGGTCCAACAAAATCATCGTAATAGCTCCTATTTAGCGAACACCGACTGTGGACCGGGCACTGGGCTGAGAGTGTACGTGGGTAGGTTTTGTCTAATCCTTTCAAGAACTCTGCGTGCGAGATTACTGAGAGGGACTCAAGCTGAGAGGAGAGTGAAAAACTGGAGCCAAGTTTTGAATTTAGGTCTATCTGACTCCGCAGCCCGGGCACCTGACTCCAGAGCAGTGGTTTTCAAAGTGCACTCCATGGAACCCTAAGGGTTCACAGAGGCACTTCCCTGCATTGGCTGCCGTGGAATGGAGGGTGGTGGAAGAGGAAGTAACCCAGCAGGCTGGGCTCCAGACCCTTCTTTCCTTCCCCCAGAATGGCCAAACTTTGATATGATTTAGGTACTGAGCTTCCATGGAAGGTTAATTGGAAGAAAAGATTTCATGACCAAAAAGTTTTGAAATCCACGGCATGCCGCCTTCCAGAACGAACGTGGATTACTGACCAGAGCTTCTTGCATGGATTTCAAGGGAACACAGTTCCCTTTGGTGGACTTGCCAAATAGTCTGGCTCAGGCTATGCCCCCTGACCCTCTGTGCTGTGAGGCCACCCTGTCATAGCTTCTGGCCTCCGGGCCGTAGGCTGCCCTCAGGGGGAATGGGACTGCCCCATGGACTGCAGGCCCAACACACTGACAGGCCTGAACTGGGTAAATTCCTGGGACAAGTTCAGCGTCAGGCACAGCCTCTAAATCCTTTTAGGAAACACGTGTATATGGATGACGGCGAGGAAGCCCTCAGATTGACCAGCCTGAGGAGGCCTCTCGGGGCCTTCCTTGTATTAATTAGGATGCAGGTTCAGCTACTATAACAAATGCCCAACTCATGAGGGGCTTCGGCACGAGTTTATTCTCCCACATGTGATAGTGTGAGTGTAAGGAAGCGGGGGGTGAGGTACTGTCTCCGTGGTGCTGGGGAGCCAGCTTCCCTCCGTCTTTCTGCTCTCGCCTCTGCAACATGTGCCTTCTCTGCTGTGGTCCAAGATGGCTGCCCAATCCTACTGAGGACGACTGTTCTGTTGGTCTTTCATTGGCCAGGCATAGTCACGTAGCCTCACTGAGCTGTAAGGACGGCTGGGACACGTAGTCTTAGCTGGGTGGTCACGTGCCTAATGGAAACTAAAGGAAGAAGGAGAGAATTATGGGGAAGCACATATCCATCTCTGTCATGGGTGGACTTCCTCTATCAAAACTGCTGGTGCTGGTGTCCACGTGAGCAGGGGTCTGCAGTAACAAATGGGAAGTGCCCCCTAGGTTGGTGACTTTCCACATGACTCGTCCCCTCCATAGTCAGTCAAGATATCGGCAGTGGGGCGCCTGGGTGGCCCAGTCCATTAAACGTCTGTCTTTGGCTCAGGTCATGATCCCAGGGTGCTGGAATCAAATCCCACATTGGGCTTCCTGATCAACGGGGAGTCTGCTTCTCCCACTTCCCCTCGCCCCACTTGTGCGCTCACTCTCTCTCTCTCTCTCCTAAATAAATAAGATCTTAAAAGAAGAAGAAGCCAGCAGTGCTTGACTTTATAGAAGAAAAACATGGCAGCCTGGGTGTTGTCAGGGAAAATTCTCCCAGAAATTGGTTTTCTCACTTCTGTCTTCCCAATCAGAGTCTCACTGTCTGTGCTGGTGAAGGATTGTCTGGGGTGTCCCTGGAAGACCCTCTGATCACCCCAGGAGCAAGCATCTTCTGGTTAGTGCCGTTCTGGTTCCAAGGAGCCATTTGAGCTGTGTCAGGAGGAAGGTTTACAGTGAGGAGGTAGAGACCTACTGTGGGCTCCAAGGGCCAGAGATGACAGACAGGCTGACCTCAGAATCCAGGAGAGCAGTCAGAAACCAAGGCTGCTTTCTTTCTCTTCAGGCCCATGTCAACACTAGTCTCTTTTTCACTCACTCAACATATATTTATTGAAGCCAAGTGCATGTAAGGTCTTCCTTCTCCTCTCTGTGGACAAGAAGTCACACTTAGGACAGCGCCCCGATGACACAGAGGCACCCACATCCACCTGCTGCCAGGCGGAGTCAGGGTCTCTCTTCCTTGCTTGGAAAGTGTCTCCCTCTCTAGCTTCAGTTCCTCAGGGAAGAGCTTGAGGAGTCAGGGGACTTCCTCCTGCGAGCAGGACATGCCGGCTTTGGAAGGCTTTCCACAGACGTGGATTCTCAGAGGAGGCAGCTGGGTCCTTCACAAGGGGCTTGTGTTTCACCTGCCTTCAGTGCTGAGGGAAGATGTTGTCCTTGTCACCACCCCACATGTTCTCAGCACAACCTCGGGCCCCAGCAGCTGCAGGATTCTTGTGACTCAACTAATTCAGCAGCAGATCCTAACACCTGCCATATGCCAGGTGCCAAGCCCTGCACTAGGGAGGTGCTGGGGTGACAAGATGAACATGACACAGTCCCCTCAGTTCTGTGCCCCATAAAGGACCTGCACTGATCCTTCTGATGTGGGAGACTTTATTTACTTTTTAAATATTTTGTTTATTTATTTTATTTTATTATTTTTTAAAAATTTTTTTGTTTTTTATTTATTTTTAAAAGATTGTATTTATTTATTTGACAGACAGAGATCACAAGTAGGTAGAGAGGCAGGCAGAGAGGGAGGGGAAAACCGGCTTCCTGCTGAGCAGAGAGCCTGATGCAGGGCTCGATCCCAGGACCCCGAGATCATGACCTGAGCCAAAGGCAGAGGCCCAACCCACTGAGCCACCCAGCTGCCCCTTATTTATTTATTTTAGAGAGAGAGAGGCAGAGGCAGAGGGAGAAGCAGACTCCCTGCCGACAGGGAGCCTGATGCGGGGCTCCATCCTAGGACCCCGGGATCATGACCTGAGCTTAACTGTTAAGGCAGACGCTTAACTGACTGAGCCACCCAGGCACCCCTGATGTGAGAGAGTTTAACCAATGACTAAAAAGCAGCCCATGTCATCTTCCAGTGGGGACAGTTACTTAAACATCCAAGAAACAACGGACAGAGGAAAAGCCTTTGCCTTTGAGTGAGACTGACCTGGTTTCAGATGGGGCCCGGGAGACGCGTCCCCGTCACCCCACCCATTGCCATCTTAGCTGAGGCAGCAGACACACAAGTTAGCATCTGTTTGGGGTTTCCGACCCACGGCAGAGTGTGGCTTCTGCCTGGGGGGGCCCTCATTTCTGACGCTTGGAGGTTTGGCCAAAGCTCTCACTGTGTGAGTCCCCGGAAGCAGGTGATAGAAACCAGACCCTTCTCCAAGCCTCCAAGCAGCCGTTTTTCAACACGGGTCTGCTCCAATTCCTACGTGGGAGCTGCATTTGGTTGACTCCCACCCTACCTGCCCAGGTCTGTTCTCTGTCGGCTGTTGTCCTGCTTTGCTTGGTAACACGATCCCATTCTGGTCACCAGCATGCGCGGTGGTAGCTGTGACACAGGGGAGGGGCAGGCCCCCCTGATGGCTGTGCCCTGCGACACATTCATTGGCAAATCCTCCAGGTGAGCACATCCCCTGTGCCTCACCCCCATCGATAAAGGCAGCCCTCGCCTGTGGGAATGTCTGGTCTTAGAGGAGAGGATCATGGGAGCCCCAGAAGGCTTGTGAGCAGAGTGATGGGGCCTTGCACGTGCCTTAGATTTGTCTGACAGCCGCGCAGAGGGCCGGTGGAGGGCTGGGGGGATCAGGAGGCTGGAGGGGAGGCCCCCCTCCCCTGCCACACCATGCTGCTCCTGCTCATCTTCCCCCCAACCCTGCCCTGACCCCAGGTCCCCAGAGCGTGTCACTTGTCAGAAAAGCAGAGCCTGCCTCTTGGCGGCTGGAGAGGAAAGGCATCCCCTGTCCCTGCTCATGCTGGGCCCAGGGCAAGGGCCGGCTGGGCAGCTGGCAGGTTGGCAGGGAGAACATGGTCTGTCTGCTCTGCTGTGTCTGCAGCCGCGGCCGCTGGACAGCCTGATTAATGACCCGCCGCGTCCAGGGCTCCTCACGGGTCAGCAGCCCCATCTCCTCAGCCGCAGCCAAGTGCACTGGCCGGCTCTGCCTCCTTCTCCCTGTGGCTGGCACTCCCAGATGGGTTGAAATGCTACAACATCGCCTCCTACCTGGGCTCTGCCACCCTTTCTTATAACTGTTTCCTGCCCTCTTTTAAATCCTGGCCCTAAATGCTTCTGTGCAGGAGAGCCTTTACAGAAGTAATTCCTAGCTGCCTGTATTCTGGCTTGTTCTTTATCTGCTTTGGGCTCATGGTAGAGGTTAGAAATGTCTCAGAGGAACCACAGCTGCTTCTCTCGGCTTTCTCAGCCCTCTGGTGACTGTCATGTGGGCCCCGATTTCTCCCTCTGCTCAAGGGTTTGTGTCTGTGTGTCCTACTTGCCTAAGGCCTACCTCCTGCATCAGACTAGCAGCTCCCCAAGATCAAGAGTCTGCCTCCATCTTTATTTTTTATTTATCTATTGATTTTTTTTCTGAGGTGGGGGCGCAGAAGGAGAAGGAGAGATGCTCCATGCCCAGAAGAGCCCAACGCGGGGCTCGATCTTGAGATCCCTGAGATTATGGTCTGAAATAAAACCAAGAGTTGGGCTCTTAACGGACTGAGTCACCGAGGCACCTCTCTGCTTCCATCTTCAGACTGGGGGCTTCTAAGATCCACTTTTCTCTTCTCCCTGAAGCAGGGTAACCCCTAGCAGAAACTGCGTGTCCCCTTCAGTCTGGGAGCTCCCTGAAGACCATAACTCTGTTGGGGCTGCCCTGGCTATTTCTTGCTGATGCCCCAAGCTGAGCTCTGCCCTGGGCATGCTCCATGGCCCAGGACGTCCAGGCCAAAACCAGCACTCGAGGCCACAGGGCACGCACGAGGGAGGGCGGTGACTTCCCGGGGAGGGCAGAGGATGGCTCCTGGCCAGCCCAACTCCTCATACCTCCTGTGGTCTCTGTCTTGGGTGGTGGCAGGAGGACAACCACAACTACTACGTGTCCCGTCTGTATGGCCCCAATGAGCCCCGCAGCCGGGAGCTGTGGGTGGACGTGGCCAAGGCCAACCAGAGCCAAGTGAAGGTCCATAGAATCCTCTCCAACACCCACCGGCAGGCTTCGGTAAGTAGGCCAGTCCCTGGCAGGGCTGCCTTGGGCTGGGAGGCTGGGGGCCAAGGCATTGTGCCTGGTCAGTGGGCAGGGTTGTGGCCTGAGGTCCATGATCTGGGAGGTGCTTTCCAGGGAACCCTGGAGCCGGGGTGCTGCCTAGAGTTAAGGGGCCCACCCGTGGTCTTGGCGGCCTGTCCTGGACATGCCTGCTCCCTGCCCTGTCCAGACAAGCATGGGGCAGTGTGGGTGCCCAGCCTCCTGGCCTACAGCTTGGCCCATGCTGATTCTCTTTCATGCCCTGCAGAGAGTGGTCTTGTCCTTTGATTTTCCTTTCTACGGGCATCCTCTGCGGCAGATCACCATAGCAACTGGAGGTAAGGCTGTGTCTGTGGGACTGGGGGAGGTTTGGAGATCTCAGCCAGAACCCAAGGGACCTACCTGGAAAGGTTCAGTGGAGATGGGGGTGTATGGATAGGCAGTGGAGGGTCCCGCGTTGGGCTCTCTCTTGGGATCCCAGTCTCAGAAGATGAGTGTGTGTGATTGGACCACGTCCCCCGACGTTGGCTGACTTGCGTGTGTGTGTGCATGTGTGTGCGTGTGTGTCTGTGTGTGTGTGTCTCGGACAGCTCAAGCCAGCCTGGACAATCCCTGTGGTCCCTGTGCTTCAGTCTGTGAATGAGAGAGAGGAGGAGACTTCCCTGAGAGCCTGGCTCTTGGGATCAGGTTCCTTGCTGACAAGAGGAGCCTCTCTTAGATTCCTGTGCACTTTCCCAGGGACAGGGAGGGGCGGGAGTCCATGCCTACCTGGAGGGGCAGGGAGAGCCTTCTCTGCTCTGGAGCCCTTTTGCTCTGTACACACCAGAACCAGAGCCCAGCAGGTGGGGGTGGGGAACAGAGGTCCAAGATTCGCTTCTTAAAAAAAAAAAAGATTCTCTTCCAGCTCCCTCTGCACTGTTCCTTCCGCACAAGCAAGGCACCCCTCTAGGCCTTCTCTGGTGATTCCTCTGCCTTAACCCCCCCTCCCCCAGGCTTCATCTTCATGGGGGACACGATCCATCGGATGCTCACAGCGACTCAGTACGTGGCGCCTCTGATGGCCAACTTCAACCCCGGCTACTCTGAGAATTCGACAGTCGCTTACTTTGACAATGGTGAGACCGGATCTCACAGTTTACAAACGCCCCCTGGCTCAGGGGCTCACTTAGTCAGCCCCTTTAGAGCAGTCCCAAGTCTAGAGAGGACAAGGGATTTGCCCACGGTCACAAAACAAGGCAGCTACCCACCTTCCTGTGTTCACTGTCTTCATCTCTAAGATGGGGACAGGATGCCTGACACCTAGCAGGATCTGATGAGATAGGAACAGAAAAGTGCTTGGCTCTTAGCAGAGGTGACAAGCATTAAAGGCCATGATTGTCTCTTACTCTCCCTGGATTGTCCCTTGAGCACCCAGCCCCCCACCACACCTGTATTGGTCCCCAAAGTTGCTGCGGGGCCTGCCTCCCTGGCCAGCCGGCTCTCTCCTCTCCTCCTCAGGGACAGTCTTTATTGTTCAGTGGGACCACGTCTACCTCCAAGGCCGGGAGGACAGGGGCAGCTTCACTTTCCAGGCAGCTCTGCACCACGATGGCCGCATTGTATTTGGCTACAAAGAGGTGAGCGAGCTTAGCTGCGGAGACGGCTGGGTCTTGGAGTCTTTCATTCAGCAACTATCTGTAGAGAACCTGCAAATGTGCCAGGCGTAGGCCTTGGTGTTGGGGAGACAGCGGTTGATGAGATGGCTGGAGGCCCTGCCCTTGTAGAGCTGTAGGTCTGGTTGGGGAGATAGATGATAATTGCAGGGACAAGTGTAGAATCACCACTGTGACAAGAATTCCTAAGTTAGAGGTGCCCAGTGTCAGGAGTGCCTTTCATGAGGCTTTTTTCCCCCCTTTTCTTTTTTTTCATGAGGCTTTTTACCTCAGCAGAGGTCAGGGGAGGCTTCCCTGAGGAACAGAGTTGAAATCTGCAGGAAGCAAAGGAATTCCTTAACAGGAAGCCAAGAGGAGAGGGGGGAAAGCACATTCAAAGGTCCTGTGGCAGACCAGGGCATGGCTGGTGCAAAGCCTTGGAAGAAAGCAAGGCTGGAGGGGAGAAAGTAGGGGACAAGCAAGGGCAGGGGAACACCCAGCTTTGCCTTTAAGAAAGGTCACTCTGGCTTCAGAGTGGAGAACAGATTGTTGGTGGCTCAGAGGGAAGGCTGCAGGATGGTTTCAGAGAGAGATGTCAGCTTGGAGTAGGTGGCATGAGATGGAGAGAACTAGACAGATCGAAGAGCCAGAGGGCAGGTGAATTAATAGGATTTGGAGATGTGTTCGGTGGAGGATGGATGAGATGGATGAAAGGGGGTGACTCCCAGGTTTCTGGTCTGCATGGAGGTGCCATCCACTAAGACAGAGCAAAGAAAAAAAGTAAATGTGCTGGAGAATTTGTGGGAGAGACTTGCAATTTGGATGGGGACCCATTGGATTTGGGATATCTTTGAGTCCTCTGAGAGGTGCTGCTGAGCAGGCAGATACATCTGGAGCTCGGAGGGGAGCTCTAGGCTAGCCCAGGGGTGTTTGGGGGCAGGGGTAGATGGTGCCTCTTTTCTTCTGCCACAGATCCCTATGCCTGTCCTGGAAATCAGCTCCTCCCAGCACCCCGTCAAAGCAGGCCTGTCAGATGCCTTCATGATTCTCAACCCTTCCCCGGATGTCCCAGGTGAGTCCCTAGGGATCCAATGGAGCTATTGGACGGGGTCGGGGGGGGGGTGTTGGACTGAGCTCCAGCTGACCCAGGCTGTAGGCGGGTGAGGATGGTCAGTGGAGGGGGTGGATGGAGGACAGAGAGCCAAACAGGAAGGAGGGAAGATGGAGTATAATGAGTTCCAACTTTTCTTCATGAAAGCAGAGGAACCATTTTTTCCCCCCAGTGAAATCTCTAGTGGGAGGCGCGGCTCTAGTTTTGGAGGGGAAGGAGAGCCACTCAATACCCTGTCCATTTAGAAAATCTCCACAGACACCAAATGAGGATTTTTGAGTCCTCACAGAACACAACCATAATGACATCCCCATCCCAGGTGATAGGAGCCTCACAGGGGGCTTCAGGGGAAGGAAGCTGGTCTCGGCCACGTTGTTAACTGTCCTTTGGCAAATCAGATCTCCCTAGCCTCTGTTGCTTCTTTTGTAATATGGGGGTGTGTGTAGCTGGAACGGTGCTTTTTCCTTCCTGGTCCTCTTCCAGTTCTGATATTTTGGGGGAATCACGGTTCTTTCTCTCCGGCTTTTAACCCCTGCTCACTCTCATGAGGGTCTTGGATTCCCATTTCTGGGGAAGGCATGGCAGGCATGCCGGCTGCTTTTTCTAGACCCCTGGCTCCAATGCTTTTGAACCTAACCTCTTCTGTTATGCTGTGTATAAAAAGGTCCTTCTGTCTAGGGGCACCTGGGGGGGCTCAGTTGGTTAAGCCTCTGCCTTCAGCTCAGGTCATGATCCCAGGGCCCTGAGATCGAGCCCTGTGTTGGGTTCCCTGCTCAGTGGGGCATCTGCTTCCTCCTCTCCCTCTGCCCCTCTCCCATCCCATGCTCTCTCTTGTTCTCAAATAAATTAATACAATCTTAAACAACAACAACAACAACAATAACAAAGTCCTTCTCTCTAACCTGCGGGGCCCCAAGCAGGAGCAGACCGGTGTCTGTTCTTCTCTATCCCTACCCGTACCTGATGGGACTGGGGGATATTCTGAACTCCACCCTAGCCATGCCAGGCTGGATGAGAGGACGTGGGCAGGAGGCACCAAAGGGCTTCCCTGTAGAGAGGCAAGGCACCAACCATTCAGGGAACTCCAGGGATTCTGGGGGAAGTATCCTTCCTACATCTGTTGGTTGAATTCAATCAATACACATGTTCTGACATGACAACACACTATGTCCTGGGTGCTATGGAGATCACAATGAAGAGGAAGTCATGGAAGGACTCATCACCTGAGCAGAGCCTCTGTCCCTAACGGAAATCTGAGGGAAGGGACCAGGGATCCTGTCATAAGCCTTCATCCAGCACCTTCCACGTGCAAGTTTCAGTCCAGTGTGAGGGGCTTGGCTCTGGAGTGGGAAGCATGGAGTCCAAACTCCCCACAAGCATCTGACTTCCAGCAAGTCACTTATCCTCTTAAAGTTTATTTCTTTATCTGTAGTTGGGGATTAAGTAGTTCGTGCCTCCTAGTGACTGTGAAGGTGAACGCTATGATGTACACGAAGCTTTCGCTCTGATGTCTGGTGCACTGAGTCTGTGAGTCCTGCATTAGGATATCTTCCTGTGCTGGCCCTTAGCACACGGCGCGGTGTTTGATAACCCAGCAGGACATCTGGTACGGGAGCAAGCAGTGCAGAAATAGGAGCATGTGATGTCCTGACGCCGGTGTGTCATTGGTCAGATGCCACGCCCACAGTCGTTCACGTGACTTTTGCAGCTAACGGGAAAACAATCCCGTGCTACAGTGGCAGTTTCCCAAACTTCACCCATGTGCACATCACCTTTGAGGTTTTTTCATGAACATGAATGACTGTTCTGTTATTATGAAGGCTCTTTTTTTTTTTTTTTAAGATTTTATTTGCTTATTTGTCAGTGGCGGGGGAGGAAGTGCAACCAGGGGAAGCAGGAGGCAGAGGGAGAAGCAGGCTTCTGTTGCACAAGGAGCCCAAAGTGGGGTTTAATCCCAGGACCCTGGTATCATGACCTGAGCCAAAGGCAGATGCTTAACCCACTGAGCCACCCAGACGTCCCTAAGAATGCTCTTCTTTATCCCAGTCTATAAAGTGATATTTTTGCACGAATAAATGTACCCGGTCTAAAACTCAAAAGATAAAAAAGTTTGTATAAAAACAGTTAGGTTTTGGGAGAAATTGGGGGGGAGAAAAAAATTAGGTTTCTCTCCCATACCTGATCCCTGTCCCTAGTTTTCCTTTCTGGAGGCAGCCCCACTACCGGGTTATTTCTAGAGCTGTAAGCCTATAGGTAAGCAAGCATATGTTTGGTTATTTAACACAAATGATGGCATATGATGCCACTGTTCTACCCTTGAACAAAGTATATCCTGCCCATCATACCATACCAGCTCCCACTCCATTCTTGTTACTGGCTACTTGATAGCCTGTCACACAGATGTTGCCTTAATTTAACCAACCCCTCCCTCGAAGTAGGCTTTACAGCTGTTTCCCACTTTTGCTACAACAAATAAGGCTGCCGTGAATATTCTTGCAAGTAGCTATTTTTACTCCCCGTTGTGAGTATTTCCGCAAGATAAATTCCCACGATCCAGATCTTGCCCCGGCGGCTCTCAAGGTGCTTGCCAGGCTATAGTCATCTCCGCCGCTGACTGGGGTGGAGCTTGCAAGAGCTCTCCCGTGGGTGTGGACAGGGTTCATTTCCTTGAGGAGGGTCCCCTCTGTCCCTGCCCTGTGGACCTCCCCGTAGGACAGCTGGTCACATGGCAGCTGGCTTCCACCAGAGCAGGTGAGCAAGACAGCCGGAGAGGGTGGGCAGGACCAAAGGGCAGTCTTTTTGTAACCTAATCCTGGAAGTGCCATCTCATCACTTTTGCCATATTCTACTGGTTAGAAGCAAGTCACTAGGTCCAGCCCACGCTCAGAACAGGATTCCAACGGCGACAGTACCAGGAGGCAGGCCAGTGAGGGCCACATTGGAGGCTGCCTGATTACCACGCTGATTATAATCCCATCCCCAGGCTCTCAGTTTTATCGTATTTGGTCAACCTCCCAGCACTGCAAGTGAAGTCTGTATTTTGTAAATGAAGACACAGAGGATCCTGAGGTGGCTTGCTTGTGATCACACAGCCCCAAGAGAGAACTGAAACCCAGATCTTCCTTTTTTTTTTTTTTTTTTAAACCGTGGGGTCGACGTTTGAGACTTCCTAAATCTAACCCAGACCCATTCCAGCCAGAGGGGTGAACCCTTTTCTCCTCAGCTCCCCATACACCCGCAGCCTGATGTGCCGCAGATCCCAGGCTGTTTTGCGGGATGAGAGGTTCTTAGCGTCCCGGTCCTCGCGCCCGTGTGCCTTACGGAACACGTCTGTTTCATCGGTGCCTCTCTCACAGGGCTTTGTGGGCTGGCAGCGTCTCAGGAAATGTGTGTTGGATCCAGCTGTTGTATGAGGGTGAATTAAAGGAAGTCAGATCCCCCAGGGAGTGTCTGCATCTGAGGTTTCTCTGTGATTCTGGAATGAAAGGCTGTCTTAGAGCAAGCCAGGGAGATGTGGGGCAGCGGGAAGAGGGGCAGGGGAGGAAGCACAACCCACCTGCAAAAACAGGAGGGCAGTTGCGCCTGCTCCGGGAGGCGGGGCCTCTCTGGCTTGGGAGCTGCGGGATTCAGGACTTCTCGTGCTGTTAGCTGAGCTGTCCCTTCTGCCTGTCCGCCTGCAGGCACCCAGCCCCCAGACACAGCCCCGCAGCCCCCAGCCTCTCATCTCCTTCCCTCCTCCCCCCATTCCTTCTTGTCACCGCTGGATCTGATCATGTGATTCTCTGGCATCTTATTGCGGCAGCATGAAGTCCAAATCCTTAGCGCGGCATTCAAGGTCCCATGCAGCTGGCACGGCCTACTCATCAGCCACCACCCTCTGTCGGGGCATCATTGGTCTGCGTGCCCTGTTCCCCAAACGTTCCAAGGGCTGTCCACATCGCTATGACACAGTTCTTTTTTTTTTTTTTTTTTTTTTTAAGGTTTTATTTATTCATTTGAGAGAGAGAGAGCACAAGCAGGGGGAGAAGCAGACAACTGGCTGAGCTGGGAGCCCGATATGAGGCCCCATCCCAGGACCTGGAGATCATGACCTGAGCCGAAGGCAGATGCCCAACCATCAGAGCCACCCAGGCGTCCCTCTATGACACAGTTCTCGTTTAAAATGGCGCCCATTTCAACCTTTTTGCCACTTGGCAAAATTCTCCTCATCCATTGGTCCAGCTCTGATGTTGTCTCCTCCCTGCAGCAGAACTCCTGGTTTCCTCAGACCCCTTCTCCCCAGTGGGCCATGAGCTCCTTGGGGGGGCTCACCGTGGCCCCGGCGCTTAGCTCAGTGCCCGCAGCAGGGCAAGCGCTCAACAAATGTGCAATAGCGCAGGGGCGGGAGCCGCTGGAGGGAATGGGTGCCGCAGAGACCTGGTCCTCTGCACTCTGGTGACCCCAAGTGAGAACAGGGGCCTGATGTGGTGGGGGGGAGTACTAATTAACTGCATCTCTCTTTGTCGGAGGTTTTTAGCCTGGCTCTGGGCAGAGACTTGAGGAGGAATATCGAGGTGTGGGTGGGCCATATTCAGATGCCAGCCTTTTTCTGGGACAGCACCCATGGCCTTCATTGGGTTGTTGTTGTTGTTGTTTTTAAAGATTTTATTTATTTGACAGAGAGAGACTCAGCGAGAGAGGGAACACAAGCAGGGGCCTTGGGAGAGGGAGAAGCAGGCTTCCCACTGAGCAGGGAGCCCTATGTGGGGCTTGACCCCAGGACCCTGGGATCATGACCTGAGGGCAGAGGCTTACCCACTGAGCCACCCAGGTGCCCCCTTCATTGGGTGTCTAAATGGGCCACCACCTCTGCTTTGGGGAGTGATGGATTTGATGTGGCTGAGAGGTCAGATTCCTCTGGGTCAGCTATTCAACCCACAAGTAGGGAATTAGTTTGGATTAGGCTGAGCTGCAAATAACAG